AAACGTAACAAAATCTAGACAAAGCCTAGAGCATTCCTAGGAAAATGCTGGAAAAGCCTTTGAAAATCCCATAAATCCGACAGAATACGTGACAAAATCTACGAAAAAGCAAGGGCATTGGCCGGGACCACGCCGCGACCAGCCCGGGATTCGAGCCCCGGACCATTTTGGACCGTGCTTATTTTCCCGCGCGGGTGGAGAGGGTGCCCCAACATGTAAATCAATTGGGATGGCAGAATCTTGGACAATCCAGGTCGCCATCACGTCGCAATCAGGTCGCACTTTGGTAGCAATCACGTCGCACTCTCGTCACTGCAACAAGGGTCCGGAGGGGTAGGGGAGGTAAGGTCTAGGTCTAAGGCTAAGGACTAGGTCTAAGGCTAAGGATAAGGCTAAGTCTAAGGATAAGGCTATAATCTAAGGCTCAGGCTCAGGCTTAAGGCTAAGGCTAACATCGACAGTCACGCCTCACCCCACGGTGTGGGGTCGGCGGATTTTTGATCTCCTAAAACAATCTATTGTTGATCCTTATCAACTCGTTTGACCCAGTTCTAGGAAGCGGGATAATTTCCTGACTCTTGGATGATGTAAACCAAATTGTTTCTGACCCAGCCACCTTTCCGTTGTGCACATGGCCATTGACAGGTTCAGGTTTCAGCGCTCTAGACCGGTATTGTATTCACTAGAGTGGATTACCTCAACTGATTTAGCTCTTGCGAGGATCAATCTAAGTGTGCGCGCGTGATTGCGTGTGGCCCTCCCGCATAGTTCTTGTCAAGCACTTGATACTTGATGGACCTGTGGTTGGTTGAACTGTCGCTAAAGGTTTGGCTTGGCTTCAAGTTAAGGCATAGGCCAAGCGTGGCATTTGCGACCACAACGTGCAAAGGGAAGAGCTGAGACCTATAGAGACCAGACAGAAAGGAAACCGAAGGGTGTAAAAGAGCATGAGAGCAAAAGGGCATCGCTAATTACTAGTAACAGGGGCATGCTACTAGCAGCAAATAGCTACTACTAGCTTCTAGCGACTTGTAGCGATGCCCTTGTTACTAGTAGCATTCTTGCTCCTAGTAGTGCGGCCAGGAGCCCCTAGTAGCGTCATTGTTCCTAATAGCGATTCCCCTTATTCCTAGTAAGTGGAAGCTACTAGTCTGGAACGAGAGAAATTCAAGTTCAAGGCCTTTGACCGTCGTAATTCCGCGACCCGGGTTATCGCTTTTCAGAACGAATGGTCTCACGGACTGAAGGACCAAAGGAGGAACAAAGAAAGATCAAAATCATGCAAAAGCGGCAAGAGGTCTAGTGAAAAATCGGAAGGACAAACAAAAGATACAGGTCAAAACAACAAACCAAAGAAGATAAAACAACTTCAACAAATAAGACAGACTTGTTGAAATTTGTTAAAGACCTGCCTCATTTTTTCCTTGCTATCTTCGGTTCACTCGCGAAAGGGAGGGTGGCGCTCGGGGGCCACCCTCTTGGCGCTCCAAAAATATGGCCACAAGGGCAGTGGGGCATACCTACTAGTAGCGATGCACTTGTTACTAGTAGCGATGCCAGGAGCCCCTAGTCGCTTCTTGTTCCTAGTAGCGATGCCTTTGTCAACATTGTGTACCGCCCCTCCAAGAAACTAGCAATGGCGCTTCCAACCTAATAGCCTTGTGTTTGAATTTCTGGCTTTCAAGTCAACTTTGGGTTAGCTCCTTTGTGAGGTTACTATTCGAAAGAGGAAGATCCTGGATCGGTCTTCAAATGCCACGAACGGTCACATTGCCCTGGTGGGCTTCCAGGCGCTTGGCGCTACTAGTGGCGCCCTTGCTCCTAGTAGCGATGCCCTTTGCTCCTAGTAGATAGCTTCTTGCTCCTAGCAGTGATGCCCTTTGGTGCTAGTAGCTTCTTGTTACTAGTAGCGTCCTTGGCTCCTAGTAGCTTCTTGCTCCTAGTAGCGATGCCCTTTTTGCTCCTACTTGCTCCTAGTAGCGATGCCCTTTGCTCCTAGTAGGTAGCTTCTTGCTCCTAGTAGCGATGCCCTTTGCTCCTAGTAGTACGGTCAGGAGCCCCTAGTAGCTTCTTGCTCCTAGTAGCGATGCCCCTCTTTCCTGGTAGCTTCTTGTTACTTGTAGCGTCCTTGGTTGTAGTAGTGCGGCCAGGAGCCCCTTGTTCCTAGTAGCTTCTTGTTACTAGTAGCGTCCTTGCTCCTAGTAGTACGGCCAGGCGCCCCTAGTAGCTTCTTGCTCCTAGAAGCGATGCCATTTGTTAGTAGTAGCGTCCTTGCTCCTAGTAGTACGGCCAGGATCCCCTAGTAGCTTCTTGCTCCTAGAAGCGATGCCATTTGTTAGTAGTAGCGTCCTTGCTCCTAGTAGTACGGCCAGGCGCACCAAGTAGCTTCTTGCTCCTAGTAGGGATGCCCTTTGCTCCTGGTAGTTTCTTGTTACTAGTAATGCCAGGAGCGCCCCGTTTGTAGCATCCGATCGCTCCGTTCCTGGCGATGCCAGGCGCTTGTGCCGAAGGAAGGGATCCAGCTAGCGTAGCTTGCAACTCCTGCCTGCCGGGCCTCCATTCCGCCGGAGCGCGGTGTGTCTTGGCGACAACTCCGCGTGCAATTGGCATCTTTAGGATGTGACTGCTAGCTTTCTTTGGAAGACTAGAGTTTGGGATTGTTTGCTTATGGGTTGCTCCTAGCTCAAGAGTGGCAGGAAGCAAAGAAGCTCAAGAGAAAGGCAAGGGGAAAGAAAGGAAGGAACATAAAGGAAGAAAACCCAGGAAGGAAGGGATCGAGGGAGGGAGCAATGAAGAAAACAATTGTCAAAGGAAAAACGGAAGCAATAAAAGGATGTGCTGGTTGTGGAGGCCATCGCTACTAGGTCGGAGGGCATCGCTTTTCGGTTGCAGGCCGTCGCTCTTTCCTTTCATTGCTTCCTTTTTTCCTTCTTCCTTTGCTCTCCCTTTTTACAGCCATAAAAATCATAAAAGTATGTAAACCAGCCGACAAGGTCAGTCTGCAGCAGGTTGCGGTGCGATGCTTTTGTGTCTCATTGGTTTTTTGCTTTCTTGGGAGGGATGCAGATTTCTGGACACCAACAAAACCGCTCCCCTCATTCTATTCGCACCCCGCACCTGCAATGAAGAGGGGCTGCAACCAGGGAAACACTACACTACACCATTCAGCCAAATTCACTTGAATGATCTTGACTACCAAGTGTAGCACAGGCGTATTTGTGAAAGAGCACATCCTGAGGCCAGCAAGTAAATTTGGGACCCTTAAATTCCATTAATGGCTAGTTTTTCTTTGCCACGTCTTAATCACTAGTATGATATTTGACGTTAGTTCCAATCTAATCCTGATGGGTTCAAATAATTTCTAGTTTAATTAACCCTTTAGCCCACCCAACAAGATTAGGGTAGCTGTAGGTTTTTAAAGGAAACAACCCACATCGTGGCCTTTGCTGCTGCAGGGCATCAGCCACTGCTTGGCCAGTCCAATGACGAACAAGACAACGCAAAATCACAACACCAAAAAATCACAGAAAACACGAGAAAAAACAAGCTACTGGGGGCTCCTGGCATTGCTACGAGGAGCAAGGACGCTACTAGAAGCGATGGCCTCCAACTTACTAGCGATGGCCTCGACAACGAGCACAGCAACGCATCCCACCAGCCAGTGGCCCGATCCTCCGACCAGTGGCCCGACAGGACCCCCCAAAAAAAAAGCATTGACACACATCACGGCAACACCAAAATAGACGTTTTCTAGCGTTTTTCTTTTCCTCTCCCGCCCTTACTCAATTAATTATGTACTCTAGAGTAGCCTTTGACAAAACACCAAGACAAATACAACAGCGGACAACAAGCAATGACACACATAACGGCAACGCCGAGCAAGTAACAATACACTCATACAGTGTGCCTGGCATGCGGTAGCTCGAAGTAAAGTTGTTGAATACATGTTTAGTTGGATCAGCTCTTTTTGCTAACAGTTAAACATTAACTCCAATTTGTTTTGATGGGGCTATGGCCACTATAATCAGTCTGAAAACCAGCTTTGATTTAGCTCAGCTTGATTTATTGTGGATTTTTTAAAGTCTAATCAGCTTTCTAACCAGCTTTGGTTCAAATCTAGTTAGTCCTGCTTTGGTTCTAACTAATATGGATTCAGTTCAAGTTCAATTTCAAACAATGTAAGTCCAATAAGTCATTCTAGTTTATTTCAATCCTATTTCTACCTAGTTCTAGGTTCACTGTACGTAATTCCAATTTAAGGCTCTTTATAGCTGGTTCTAATTGGCTTTTGCCAGTCAATTTCTATATATCACTATTTGGTCCGCCGGGCGTAGATGGCCGGGTGGTTTGGAGGCCATTTTTTGTGTGTTGAAGAAGTCGTTTTATTGAAATTTCCTTCGGATTATGATTTTGTTGGTTGTTAAGGGTGTTTTTTGCGCAGTTGCTGCTTTCAAAAAGAAACTACTTTGGTTACTTATGGTCGCTTGCGCCGACACAACAAATCAAGAACAATTATTCTGCAAAGGTTCTCCGTATACGCCAAGGCTTTCACAGACCCGGGGTTCATCACAAACCAACGTCATTAACTTCCCCCCCCACCCCCCCCCCCCCCCCCCCCCCCCCATCTTCCAAAGCGAGTGTGCCTGTGACATAATCTTCGGCAGCACATCCAAAGCAACATCATCAACCCCCCACTCAATTTTAATCATATGACTAATCGATGACAATGTTGTGATGTCGATGACAATCTTGTGACATCGATAACCCAAAAAGTACTGTAAATATTAAATATCATGCAGTTTCTACACAATTGCCCACCCATGAGAAATACCATAGAAAATGCTTGTGACCATTTCGACGCTCTCCCCAGTGGCCGTGCGGACACATAGAAAGTGCTGTAAATACCACACAGAATTTGTAAAAGATTGCTCGAAATGCCCCGGCCGTCTACGCCTGGCAGGCCAACTACTTTAGCTGTACTGGTTTGAATCGAAGTAGAGTTATTGGCAACTTAATCCAAATCTAGTCCCTAATCTATATTATTAATCCGAGCTGAGCCTATTTGAATCTACAGAATTTGCGACTGTGCTTGCCCTTCTTCCTTGGCAGAAGCCTTTATACTACCGCCTTAGTTTCCTTCTCCTGTTCTTGTTCCATGTTGTTTTTTGTTATTGATACTTGTTCTATTTGTTCATAGTAGGAGCCAGAAAGCACAGAAGAGTTTGTTTGTCGCAGATCAAGCTCCAGCTTGGGGTGGCAACCATCGTGTGTATGTGGGGGGGCTAAGGCATTCCGTGCGAAGGAGGGGACTATGCGCTTGTTGGCAGTCTATTGGTTTGCTTCGTGCTCGCCATGAGTGGAGCATATGTGGCTTTCACGTGGCAAGAGTCCAAAAGTGCCCGCTCCTCGAACTTCGTCGTGGTGGCGTGTGGTCTGGGCCAGCTAGCAACGTCAATTCAAGTGATTTCTGTGATCCATCAGTTCAGTTTGGACTGGGGAGAGCCCATCGCAAGCCTGCTGGCGCTCACGGAATCTTTCACCCTTGACCTTAATATTCTTTCCTTTGATTGCCTTACTCCCTCGGATCCAGTACCACTGTTCCTATTTCATGTGATGGTGTTGCCCAGTGTTTTGGCACTGGTTTGCATCATCCATTTCTGCACCGTTCTGGCGAAACGCAGTTCGTCCACTTGGCAGTTCCATCGCCTTGGGCAGGCAGTTGGTTCCTTGTGTGTCGTCTTCTTCATTGCTGTGTGTTCATCTTCCATGCCCCCACTCATTTGCCAAACTCATCCCAACAAGCTCTCAACTGTGCGAGCCTATCCATCGGTGAATTGCAATGGCCGTGAGCAGCATCTTGCCATGATCCTCATCACAACATTCGTATTTTTACTGCCTGCCCTTTTCCTCGCATCGAGTATTTGGGTGGTTCTGCAGATCCCCAGCAAGATCAATCAGTCGGATTTGAAGTTCATCAGAGCTGCTTCGTTTCTCTTTGGACGTTTTCGCCCAGGAGCAGAAACCTTGGGAGTTTGGCTGTTGCTACGAAATGCCTTGTTGGTCTTCTTGCCATTGGCTTCACAAAGTGTGAGCACCTTCTTGATGAACATTCTGCTATCTCTAAGTCTGATGGCATCGTGTTATGTCAAGCCTTGGCGGATGAAAGCTTGCAATGACTTGGACATTTTCCTCACAGCCTGCATGATTTTCATCGTGACTTTGGGATCGCATGTGGCTGGGGATGTCAATGAGGCTTTGACAATCACAGCAAGCTTGACATTGCTCAGTCTCATTTTTCTCTCACTTCTGGCCTTTATCTCTTTAGGTTGTTTGAGATGCTTCCGTGAAAAGCAGAAGGCCTTCAGATACTTCCTTTCGCACCACAAGAGCAAAGCTGGCAGTTTGGCACGCTGGCTGAAGATGCTAATCTTGCAGCGTGGGAAGAGATTTACCACTTTTGCCACTTGTTCGAATTAGAATCGAACTCTTTTAACCATAGTAACAAGAAGCTACTAGGAACAAGTGCCTTACTACTAGTAACAAGAAGCTAGTAGAAACAAGAATTATAGTACTTGTTTCCTGGAGTATCGTTGAGTATCTTTGAGTTCGGAAAGTCGAACAGATCGATGCTGAGATCGATGCAGATGACTTGTGTGACCTGACGAAGCTTTTTTGGCATGTGGCCCATGAGACGGTGACCTTGGTGATTCTGGCGAGTCCCGACCTGCTGAAGCGGAAATGGTGTGTGGGCGAAATGGTCACTGCCAGGTTCGGAAGCCTAGGAACAAGTGCCTTACTACTAGTAACAAGAAGCTACTAGGAGCAAAGGGCATCGCTACTAGGAGCAAGAAGCTACTAGGGGCTCCTGGCCTTACTACTAGTAACAAGAAGCTATTAAGTTTAATTCTAATAGCTTCTTGTTGCTACTAGTAAGGCACTTGTTACTACTAGTAAGGCAGAAACCTAATAGCGATGGCCTCCAAGCTGGAATGGTTCGGAACCTGTTACAATCTGGTGTGCATGCACCAACATGGCCATGCCACCATGGTCATGTGGAGCAAGGAAGCTACTAGGGGCCCGACATGCAGTGGACATTCAGAAGTGCGGCATTTTGTGCATCCGCGGGGGGGCGTCGCGGGCGGCAGGATGCATGAGGTGCATTCGGTTGTCATCGCGTGGCCTCAATTTGTGAAGCCCACTGAGGCGCATCGAGACTAGTGCCGAGACTCGTGCCGCCAGACTCGTGCTGACTCCAACGGAATGGCGATGGCCTCCCCCTAAGAGCTAAGTGGCGAAGAACAAGAGAAAAGCAAACATGATGGACTCGGTAGTCCAGAAGGGATCCAGTAACTAGCATCCTTGCTCCGCATCCTTGCTCCTAGTAGTAAGGCCAGGAGCCCCTAGTAGCGTCCGTGCTCCTAGTAGCGATGCCCTTTGTTCCTAGTAGCCTTTTGCTCCTAATAGGTTGCCACACAAATTCCAAATGAGTTTTTGTGTTTGTATGCGCTTTTGAAGATTTCTTCGACCATTCCCGAACTGGGACCAGAGTCGAGACGAGAGTCCGGTGTGCCCTTGACTTGCCAAATCCCTACTATTGCTACTGCTTGAGGAACAAGAGTGATGAAACGTTTTCGTTCTTACAATGACTTGAGGTCTTGGCTTTGGGAAACAAAGCAACCTTTGAATTTGAACTTGCTCCGACAACAGGCCTTCATCCAGGAATATGCAAGCTTCGTGCCTGACATTGTTCACCTTGGCAAGCACAACATTTGCATCGAAGACGTTCAGGAGACGTTTCGCTGGATGTGTTCTTTGCAGACGTTGCCACTTCCTACGCCTTTGACACATGTTTCTTGGACTTTGAGGGGAGTTGGTCGATGGACACATCTTACTTGAAGCAATGAACGAAATGCCCATTGTGCTAGCAGTTTGACCTGAGGGAACCTTGTCTCTTGTGGTCAATACACTTACGGGCACCTTGTCCAGAATCAGGCCGTTCATGTCAGAGCTTCTTGGATGCAGTATTCAACAAACCACGTGCAAGGACGCTACTAGGGGCTCCTGGCCTTACTACTAGGAGCAAGGATGCTACTAGTAACAAGGGCATCGCTACAAGGAGCAAGGACGCTACTAGGTGCTATCTTGTGCTTACGGCTTTGACGAGAACATTCAAATGGAAACAGACCCCCGGAAACAAGCTCAGACACCGTCTTAAAGATGATTGGGGCAGTTCAGTTTGCAACAGCCAGCAGGCGCTGCGAAGAAATTTAGGAGGCATTGCTTGGCCAGGACATCAACCTGCTGCATCTTATCAGATCCCGAAAATTCGGAAGCCGTTGCAGCTGCATTTGTCTTTAGTGAGCTGATGAGCAAGGAGTTTTCCAGGTGGGAAGTGTTGGGTGTTTCCAGAGCGATTCACACCGATTGGAGCGGACTCAAGTCTTTTCTTCTTAGGGTAGGAAGCTACTAGCTTCTTGTTACTACTAGTAAGGCACTTGTTACTAGAAGCGATGCACTTGTTCCTAGTAGCTTCTTGTTACTACTAGTAAGGCACTTGTTACTAGAAGCGATGCACTTGTTCCTAATAGCTTCTTGTTACTACTAGTGAGGCACTTGTTACTACTAATAAGTCGGATAAATGAAGCAGACAAAAGCTGGCACAAGTGCTCTTCATTGCGCCATCGCTAGTAGGTTGGAGGCCATAGCCATCGCTAGTATTGTTTCTTCTTTTCTTTTTCTCCCGTTTTTCTCTTTGCAATTCCTGGAGGACCTTAGCCTTCTCCCAGACTCTAGTGATGACGCCTGGTGAGTTAGTTCCAGAGGAGACGGCCTATGCCATTGTCGTTTGCACTGGAGGAGGGGCTTTGATGACGAGAGCCTAGGGCAGTTGGTTGGGTAATTCAAAGTGGTCATGGAAAGAGAGACCTAAAGGTCTAAAATAAAACATGCAAGAAAAACTACAGAAAAGGAAGCAAGGTCTAAAGAAGAAAAGAAAAGACAAATCAACTAGAGACTGGTAGACAAGGACGCTACTAGGGGCTCCTGGCATCGCTACTAGGAGCAAGGACGCTACTAGGGGCTCCTGGCATCGCTACTGGGAACAAGGACGCGCTTACAATGAAATCTTTTTGGACAATCACAAAGAAATGCCCCGAGGATCTCTTAGGTCTTAACCCTCAGTCGCCCCTAGTAGCATCCTTGCACGTGGTTTGCAAGCGCGAGTGCTTTTCCTCTATTGATTCTGATCTTCTCTTAGGGCTTTAGACCTTGTTTTCTTTTCACTTTCACACAGGGAGGCCATGGCTATTGGGTTGGAGGCCATTGCTATTAGGTTGGAGGCCATTGCTCTTAGGTTGGAGGCCATCCCTATTAATAGGGTGGAGGCCATTACAATTGGGTTGGAAGCCATTCCTATTGGGTTGGAGGCCATAACTATTAGGTTGGCATCGCTATTAGGTTGGAGGCCACTACAATTAGGTTGGAGGCCATTGCTATTAGGTTGGAGGCTGTCTCTACTAGGTTGAAGGCCATGACAATCAGGTTGGAGGCCATCGCTACTAGGTTGGAGGCCGTGTCTACTAGGTTGGAGGCCATGACAATCAGGTTGGAGGCCATCGCCGCTAGGTTGGAGGCCATGACAATCAGGTTAGGAGGCCATCGCTACTAGGTTGGAGGCCATCGCTACTAGGTTGGAGGCCATGACAATTAAGTTGGAGGCCTGCAAAGACTGTTCCTCCAGTTTCGTTCGCTCGGCAGGTTGCTTGAAGTCCTTCGAGCTTTGTCAATGGATTGTGCAGCTTGGCAAGTCTGACTGCAGAGCTTTGCCTGTCTTTGCGGACGAGGAATTCAAACTTCCAGGCAAGAGTTTCACTAAAGGCAGCGAAGGAGAAAAGACACCTCCAAGGGTCTAAAGAAATTAGCAAGAAGCTACTAGTAGCAAGACGCTAGTAGGTTAGAGGCCATTAACTACTAGAAGCTACCAGTAACAAAGGGCATCATTACTGGGAGCACAACAGAAAGGGTAACTAGTAACTAGTCATTTTCATGTCCAGCGACTGCAAGCCGAGCAGAATCCAGAATAATCATAATCCAAGGCACTAGGAACAAGTGCCACGCTAGTAGTAACAGGTGCCTTACTAGTAGTAACTGGCAGCGATGCGAAGCATTCCCCTAACGGGCCGTGCAACATCGCTACTAGGAGCAAAGGGCATCGCTACTAGGAGCAAGAAGCTACTAGGGGCT